TGGGGGACTCTTCCATGGTACTCATTTGCATATATTATTGTGGTATGCAAAATAGGATGATTTCACCTTTTGGTGAGTTGTAGCATTATAGATTTAATTCAGGTCTGAAAGCACTTTGTGAAGGGAGAGTGCCATCATACTCTGTATTCTCAGTGGAATTGTTTAATTGAAGGCTGTGGAGAGTCGACACATTATGAACCTCAATGTCGAACACAACAAAAGAGCAATTGAACTGTCAATAAACCTGTTGTGTGACGTTAAAAACACAAAAGATGCACAAACATGGGCCCAGACATACGCACAGACATGCACAGGCAGTTCAGTGACATGAAGACACACGCACACACTAACACAGACACACACACACACACACACAGCCTAGAGAGAGAAGAGGGAAGAAAGATAAGAGAAATCTTTCACACACAAAAAAGTTAGAATGAGGTGACCTACTTGTCAGTAGCCTACCAGTAGCCCGTGTCTTCAGATAATTCTCGTGGTGATGACATACTTTTTTGTTTTGTTTTTGTGAATATGTTATAATGCTCGACTTTTTCTGCAAGACGAGGTGGAGCGCTTTACTCTGCAAGAACACCACTCCTCTCTGAATTTGGCGCAAAAGCGTCAGACTGTACCTGCTGTATTATTTTCACCGGTCACAATCTTCTCATCATCAAAATCTTTTCTTTTTCCCCCCTTTTCTTCAAAATGTTATTTTTCTGAATGCCTTTCACAAAATGTCAGAAAATCATCATGTGACTGAAAAGACAGCAATCTGGGAACGCAATGCATCCTTTCTCATATTACTCCCCCCCCCACCCCCCACCACCTCTTTGCCTAATTGCAGGCGTATCCATTAGATTCAACCGGATTCACGTTTTAGTTTAACAGCGAGGGCACGTTCAATGACGTAGACAAGCATATCAGCTACGTGCAGCCATATTTAAATACATCAAGGCAATTAGCGCATCAAAATATGCAAATCCCGCTTACTACATAGTCCGCCCGGCCGCAGTCGGAGTAATTCCCCCCAGCCAGTTCTTGGGTGTTTGATTGCCGTTTTGAAAGCCAACATAGCCTTGTTTGTTTTTCCAAGAGGCTTCGTTAACGTGAACGGGACAGAAGGGAGACCTGAAGAGAAGGGGAACCGTGGCTTCTGCGTGGAAAGCCGCCCATGCGTAATGAGACGACCCGCTCCGCCATTCTCAATTCTCCGACGCCGTTGGCTCTGGTGTGCGTATTATTTTTAATATTGATGCATATTCAGTGGGTAGATTTGCATTACATACTTATCGCTCAGTGTTTTTTTTTTGTACATGTGTATGCGTGTTAGAGGTAAGGACGTTGTTTGGTCTGTTAGAGCGATTACATTTATTGCCTAAAAAAATCTCAGACTTCAAATTTAAATTGAGGGTTGATGTGATACAGACTGTAGTGTGGCACGATATCGGCGGCATTGTGGTCTTAATAGTTGAGATGCTTAAAAAAAAAACTGAATGATGTAAATCGGCGAGAGCCTTTGAATACTCTAATACAGCATGCTTGGACAAAGAGCTCTCTGGTGGGCAGACAATAGAGGAGATTCCGAGGTAAGGAGTTGATACTTTAAGACAGAGACGGCTGGCTCGTAACAAGAGAATGACACGGGTTGTGTGGAAACTAATAACCAAAAAGTCTCCTGCCCGGTTTGTAAGAAATCCAGTGACGCAGCGCTGACATTTAGACTACAATTGCTCAGGCTGTCTCCTCCGGTGTCCGTGCACGCGCACAGTGGTGTCAGGGACGAGCGCGCGCATGAGAGTGCAGTGCGTTTAGAGGAACATATCCACAATTATCACATAGTATAAAACAGAAGACAGACATTTTGATGTATGCATCCCCGCTTTGTCATTCAGCCTCCTCCTCTCTACAAACCCCGCGCTCCCTGCGTCTTTGTGGTCCTCCCCGGATAAAAGCCCGTCCTGGATCAAACATCTTTAACTTACCTTCCAGTTAACAAAATCCACTGGTGCCCGCGGTGCTTGGCTACGTGCGACGTTTCTAAGCAAGTTGGTGGGACGTTTTCCAGGAGGGCAAACTTTCTGGTTTATGAGCCACAGCAGATCCAGTCCCTATAGGCTACTCCCCTCGTCATTGAACCTTGCTCTCGAACTGCTCGTGGCTCAACACCACTGGTCAGGCTAGCTCACGTAAAGATATTCAAAGCCACAGGAGTCCGTTACCCCACCTATGCTGGGCTAGTCACTCTAAAGAAAAGTCATATTTACTCATTACTTGGTCTTGGGTATTAGAATATGGCGTTACATGTGTGTGTTGCTCACTGTGAGCTTAAATCATCCAATCATCCATCCTCTGTTGTGTGGCCCACCTTTCCTTCACCACCTCCCAACACAGAGAGGGATACACCTCACCCTCGTTTACCTTCAAAAAATAAAACCAATGAGATGTGTTTTTTTTTTAATTTGGTTTTTAATGGCGATGTGAGAGGAGCTTTTATAGGAAAGGGTCGGGGAAGGTGATATGAGGTGGTGGTTTAGATGATTTAACTAATGTAACCTCTTATTCTTTCCATTGGTGTGCGTAATCGGACTAAAAAAGAATCAGGGTTGAGTAATTCGTTAACATTATTTCTTTCTCGGAACTGTAGACCTTTAACACTAGCAGGGTAAATCACATGAGCTCTGTATCTTTTAAAACCACTCTATTTGTGCTCTTCACCATAGACTGTGTAGGTCCAGAGTTTGTTGGGGCTGGAGAGGAGGACAGTCGCTGTTCACTGGTCCTCATTTGAATCGTGTATAGGAGAGACACAATTTATGGACTCCGGGTATTCTCCCTGTCCCTCATTTGTATTTAATATAACGGCGTTTTGTGATAATTGAGCCATCAGGCCGCATGTTCGAGTCCAAGAGCACCATCGGGTTTTTTTAGAGATTCTAAAGAAATTAGACGATGGCCTTTAAAACAGAGGCAAACAAAATAAGACTTTTAAATTAAAATGTGTATTTCTATATCAAAATGCTCACATTGAGGTGTAACGTGAGCCAAAAAAACCCGGCTACGAGCACCTTTGATAAAATATTTAATTCAAAACGAGGCAAGCAAAATAAGCGTGGAGCGTAATTTCTTTTCAGAAATCATCAGTGAGGCAAACAGTCATATATTAAAATACAANNCCCCCCCCCCCCCCAATTTTTAGGCCAGACATAAGCCCACGGTGCATTTTGTAATAACAGGCGAGCCTCGTCTGGCACTAGAAACAGTATTTGAAATTGGCGTAATGAAACACCTCCAAGTTAAAGAAGCAGCCAAGCTATTTTTTTTAATAGCATACCTGTAGTTGTAGAGGTGTGAGGCGTCTCCTGCCATTCACCGTGCACCGGTTGTACACTTTTTGTCCTTTTAGGGGACAGACAGACAGAAGTCCATAGCTTATATGTGTATGTGAAAGCTTTTGTTGTTTGAAAATTATGATTATTATTATTATTATTATTATTATTATTATTATTATTATTATTATTATTATTATATCTTCCTGTCTGTTTTTACTTTACATTACAGATTTTACCTTTTTAAAAATCGCTCCTTAAACAATAATGTGTACATTTAAATGAACAGGGAGGAATATTCTATCTCACACTGCCACTAACATGAGAAATCTCTGTGCAGCAGTTACACAAGCTTATTTATGTCTGTTCGATCTACATGAATAGCTTTGGAGACTGAGGATGAGGATGAGGAGGGTGAAGGTTGGGGAGTTCGACTAGACGACTAAATGGTGACATCTAGTGGTGATTTTGGAGAATGTCGCTGATGAAAACGTGGCCATCCTCCACGGTCACTGGACTTCATGCACATCTGCTGGCGCCGCCACCTCACCCACTTTTAATCGTACACATTAATGCGTGTAAAATGTGATACACAATAATGTGCAAAATCTTTAAAAAGTCTTTTTGTTGAAAGTCTAAATTGCTACAGTCCGGTATGATAGGATGTTACACTGAACAGATCATACAAAATAGGTAAAATTGTAGCATAAACTGGAATATGGTCATGAAAGGCCACTTTCGTTACTGTTTAGGGTCTTTATTTATTTGTTTTCTATTTCTATTTTTTCTATAAGCAAATTTTAAACACATCGTCTCTATTTTTTTTTATTTGGATTGAGAATTTAATGAGCTTGTTCTTCCATATTCTCACACATTTTCTGACCTTACTCTTGGCTTTTATTTCCCTCGTATCCGTGGAGTTTAACAGGAGATGGATCACATTTGAGAAACCTGTGTGCCAGTTCAAACGGAGGCGTGTCTTGCATCATTCTGACCTTTCGGGAAACTGTGTGAGAAGTGTTGTCGCAGTAGATGCTTTCTGACAGATAATAAATTATATTGTGCCAACAGTGACTTTATCAGCCTTCTTCACCACAGGCTCCTGGAATCAACCCTTCAAATTCACTAAAATGTAATGAAACAGTAGAGGAGGACTTCATGTAGTGCGGCCTAATTAAAACCTGCGGAAACGCGCTACAGTAACCCAGGAGACACTTTAGAAGATTCATACACTACAGGGTTGCCGCGATAAAAATACCATAAATTATAAAAGCACAAAAGTAGCTGTTTAGCAGCATAAACACACACACATCCCGATCTGAATATTGCAGCGATACACACATAAAATAGGATTCCGTTACAGTAATGTCATATATGTACCGTAAATCATAGACTAGACTTATTATAGAGTGTTTTGAAGAGAATAATTATAAAACGCTGTGGAATGTGAAACTATGTATCATTTCGTTATCTTCGATTTTGTTCACATCCAGTAAAACGACAGCAGCCTAATGATGAAGGTGCGTTACGTTACTTCTGAGATAAAACTACTTCTTTGAGACGTTGTAACCCTGATCGTTGATTTGAGTTTTTTTTTGTTTCTGCCTGTTTTAAAAAGAAAAGAATCGCCACCAGATATATAACAGCATAGATGTACTAAAATAAATAAATAAATAAGACTAGATGAAGATGGATAATCTAACTGCTAAATGAATAATTTACTGGAGTTTAATTGAAAGAATTACTTTGCTGCATTGTATTGTTTCCTAAATTAAAATTGAAAAAGAAATGAATCACAGTGATAGAATTAAATTGATCACAAAGATTAAAATGTTGAAATGAGTGTTTACTTCTACAGGTAACATTACGTTTACAGTTTGTTTTTTTTCCAGTAAACGCATCATTTTTTTTTTTTCAAATAATTTGACGGGATTTATAGATTTAAAGATGGCACGTTGCTCCCCGAGTTTCTAAATATGTGTTCTGAACCTGAAATTAGTTTAAAAAATAAATTGTCTTCACTTTAAGCTGCGTTTTCAGCCTGAAAGGGAGGACGTTTTGATTCGAAAAGCACCTTTTATTGATATGAGCCAAAACAGCAGGCCCACATAAACCAGACTGACGAGAGGAAAAAACAATAAACCTATAAAAATCATAGAAAATTATATTATATCAAAATAAGTTGCAGTTGGGACACTTTGGGGGNNGGGGGGGGGGGGGGAAAGGTTCGAAAAGCTCGATATCGAAATGCAAAGACATGTTTCTACAGGAAAACACATATGTTTGTATTACCTAATGTAAGTGATAAGCACTTGAAACGCGAGCCATGCAGTCGGTAGAAAAGAAATGGACAGTTCGCAGAAGAAACACAAAGGCCTCCGAAAATACGCCCAGTTGGGATCAAATGTGTTTTATTTTTTTTCAATAAGTGTTGTTGCATGTTGACAATCTGCTGCAATCACCCTGTCATCTCTTAATAAATGTGTGACTGTTGTTACTGATTATTGTGTTTGTACTGATTATTGTATTTTCAGAAGTCAGAAATGAGCCATTATAATTTAATCCGCAGTTTTTAACAGATCTACAATTTATTAGCGTCAGACATTCCCACCTGTGTCAGGAGGAAATCAGAAAAAAAAGAAAAGAAAATCATGAATTTTACAGGATGAGCTCCTCCTTCCTATTTCTATCTTTTCTCTTTTTTTCTTCCCCTTCTTTTATTCAGGGATGAATGAGATATGTCCTGGAGTAGGCCTATTTGTGTGTGTTAGGGGAATATTTCACACCTCTGTAATTTGTAGGAGCAGATTACTGTGTTTGCATTGTTTATGAACCTGTTTTTCCCCCCTGTGAATTTAAGGTCCATGTGTATTGTGTATAGCACAATGTATCACTGTGAGAGATGATGCCCCTGTAATGTTAAGTGAGATAAACCTTGGCTTTAAATGTCAAATAAATGTCTTTTCAGTATGAATACTTATGTTAAAAGGCCACATTTTTTAAAATGGAAATGGAAAGAAGAAAATGTGAAAATGATGCCATTGTCATTATTTCAATGTCATGCACTTTATATTCTCCTATTCTGTGGCACCATGCACTGACTTCCATTCATGGCAGACGTTCGTGTTGATATGTTGTTGTTGTTTTTTGAGTTTGTGCAGTATGAAAGTAACTTTTATAGATGCATGCAGAAACAAGTCAAACACAATGAAATCACACCAAGTCACATCAGGATAACTAAGAAAGCCAGTAACTTTACTGAAATCTCTGCAAAATACAAATAGCCTTTCCCTCCAGCAGAGGAGACTTTTATTTCATCCCCATACGTTTTCACTACATACAGCTGAATCAAGTCCCTTGAGTTACAGAGATGTGGATTTAATTTAATACCATCTTAGTCTCAAGTGGCGACAAAGGCCAGCTTATGCCGCTGAAAGCCGCTCTTGCGTTCCAGAAAACATTAGTTCCAAACCTCCCCCATTTTCAGGTTTATACAAGCTACATTTGATACTACAGACTGACTTTTTTAAGCATTGTAACATATTACTCTTTTTTTTTAAATTCCTTTTCAGCTTTTGAATACAACTTAAATAAACCACAAACACGGTGGAGCAACAAAGAATCCCATGTGAATGTAGGGACCTTAAGCAATGGTATTACATGGTTATTACACATGGCTGTACAGTTGTATGGTCTCCCCTTTTCACTGCAAGTGACTTTATCAAAACATCAGCTGAGGTACTGCTTGGGTCAATTTTGAGGTACCAACATTTAGTCTATTATAATAATGACAAAGAACAACTGATCAACAGGTGATGAAAAAGAATGGCTTCAAATTTAACAAACACAAAAAGAAAAAAAACAACATAAAGATATGAAGACAAGTTTTCTCCATGTCTTTGGTTAAAATTATTGTCAAAACTACAGCACTCTAATTAACCATCAGGACACGTTGGCATTATTTCAATCAGTGAGCAAGCACGATAATAAGTGTGTAATGTGCTCTGATCAAGTGGACAGCAAGCATCCGTTTCACATGAGGCCTGACTGATTCCGCTGACTGAATAACAAATTGTAAATACAAGATACGTTTTTCTGTATAACCTGTTCAATGCAATGCACATGGGGGGGACAGATGTGCGACAAAAAAAAACAAAAAAAACAGGTAAATTATTGTGGTTGGTACTGAAAATGCAGCTTGATAGCTAAAGCTACATTTGACTGACTGAGATTGAAATGTGAAACCAATTGTACATTTGAGCAAATTCTTTTATTGTCTTGTTTCAATGCTTGCAAAAACCATAAATGAATGTGAAAATAAAAGTTGAGTTTACAACACAGAAATGCCACTGGCTTTGGTTTCTCCACACTTATGCTGCCTGAAACATCATGTTTATTTTTTTCTCAACCTTTTTGTATTGAATTTTAAAAAAAGAGAAGAACACCATTATAGAGGCTCTGCCCCTGTTTGACTACACAGACTGTATACAGTAACAACATAGTGAACCTGCATGAAATATGCACATAGAAATATCATAACACTTAAGTGACAGCAGATACGGGAGTGGGAGGCAGAGAGATATGTGGCTAGTTTCATTGTTTAAAAAAGAGAAAATCAAAACAGCTATTTATTTAAAATAAACAATTGTGCTTCTTTCATACCAGCATGATCAATTTTTGTCCTTGTGTATCTGTCGCTGAGCTCTCAGTGACATGTTGAAAATGATGTGGAAACCTGTTTTGAAGAGTGGAACGTGAGGAGTCACAGGACGACACAGAATCAAATTAAGTTTCCAAATGATCAGGGATAATTACTCACAATGCACTCGCAAAATTATATTACATAAATATGATTAAAAAGAAAATTGTATTGATTGGATCTGGGCTTGTGCAACATCTTGACCAGCTGAGATTGTGGTGAAAATTTCAGTTGGAGCAGAACACTGATAATGTCAAAAACATGATTTTATAAGATTAACTATATTAAATTAGTCAATTAAGCTTAAGAATGAAAAATCAGATGCATTAAAATGCAATCTAGACGTGGATTGAGGGTCAGTCATATTTCTTTATCAGTATGACAGTCATGTACATCATGTGTCAACTTTTATTTACGTGTCATCCCCAGTTCCAGCCTCATGACATTTTCCACTAACAGTTGTTTTTTTCAGGATTCAGGCCTGTCTTTCCTCCGTCACACAAACCCGGGCAATGCTTTCCAGCTGGTTTTTAAGGTTAGACTAAATACACCCCTGATCAGCACTGTTCAGGGCTCAAATGAAACAAACCAGACAACATGTGCAACTGCACATAGAAACTCCACTAAGAAACCAACAAAAATCATTAGTATATATATTTATATATTAGAAAGCTATACACAAGCATGTTAATTTCACAGATTTTTTTTAAAGATTCTTAATATTACCATTATTATATATAATTAGAAATACACGTTTAAAAACAAACCTCTACAAAGATAAAACAGTTCAGCAAAGCATTGGATCTCAGTCTGTTTTTCATGGCTTAGGGCTTCAAAGCCCTGTCATTTCCCCTCTGGATGAACTATCCATCTCTTATTAGCAAAGCTATCAAAAAACACATTCTGGCTTATAGAAACTACAAAAAGCCACAAAAATGCTTTGCATTGTATTCCTTTCATATGAAAATATAAGCAAGTGTATCGTACAATTGTTTTTTATTTTTCCTTTTTTCGTTTATTAACACTGAATATTAATACTAGATCCAGAGTTTTCTTGATTACACTAACGTAGCTCTTAGATCAAAGGGTGGTCCTCGCTCAGCTCTGTTCTTTAAGGGAGCGCTAAAATCATCAAAGGTTCCACATGTCTAGCATTGGGTCTGCCTGTTTACCTGTACAATCCTTCAAATGTTGCATAATAGCTTTTTCATTTAGTGAGTAAATAAATCTTGTAATGTCTGGCAACTTTTGACCCCTGCCCTTCCCCCCTTGACCCTCTATTTACATAAATACGTTGAACCTGCAACATGACATCATCTAATGTTAACACACATTTTTGCAAGGGAGAACTGCAGAGAAGGTATATAGCAATGAAACTGACACTGTACACATGTATTGTTTGTCCAACTCAAGTGCTAAGGTGTTTTCCACTGGACACACTCACTCTCATGTTAATGTTTTTTTTTTTTCATTTTTTTGTCTCTAGTCACTGATATATCGCTGAGGCAAAGTGTAAGTACGTTTTATGAAACAGAGTACCTGACTATTTTTTTTGTTTATTTGTTGATATGCATATATGTACACATACACACACGTGTAAAGATATATGCATACGTGATTCTTTTTATCCACACACAATACAATTTATGCATAGTTCCCCAACAAAAATACCCGCCGGTCCCATCCCAACCAACACCCACCCTCCCAAACCCCCATTACAACACCCCACTGGTTTATATAATGTCAATATGTATAGCACACACACACTCAGCAAAAAGAAAAAAAGAAAAGAAAAAAAAGGAAAAGAAATTACAAACATATTTTTGAAAAGGGCTGTCCCTTTTCATTCCTTCAGCGTTAAAGAGATAAAAGGACATGGGGTTGGGTGGTGAGTGACTCGTGATATCGAGTGAGAGGAGGAAGAGGAGGGAGTTGATTGGGGGGCATTGTAACGCTGCGTTGTCGGGGGGCTCAGGGCAACTCGGGGCACTGCCGGGGTGAGGATAGAGCTATCATGTTGCCCATCCTTCTGACAGGCGCACCCGTTTGATGGAGGGGCTCTCGCGCTCGTCCAGGGCGGGCCGGGCCAGTCCCAGAGGTGAGTGGAACTCATTCCTGTGCTCATCGCGGTCGCTGCCCTCGTGGGAGCTGCTACAACTGCTCAGGCTATCAACAGGGGAGCGCCCCGAGTCCTGGCGGGACGAGGGGTTCTGGGGAGGTGGTACGCCACCGTAGCCCCCCGGTGTGCTGCTGGTGCGATCTCTAGGAGGAGAAACAGGTTCGGACTTGATGTGCAGGCTTTGAGCAGAGGGCAGGGAGAGATTTGAACCCTGACATAAGTGAGAGCTAGAGCAATTTCTGTAGGAAGGAAAGGAAACGCAAGGGGTTACAGAGTTACAGAGCAAGAATTAAGATTTTGAAGTCAGTCTGTCGCACGCAAACATGCATGCAAGCACGCACACACACATCCTCATTAAAACAGGGAGGTGCCATATTTGTGTTGGACCTTGCAAACGAAGGTTGAAAACAGTGAGGGACTCTTGGCGTTTCAAAAAATAATCTCTAGTGATAATTTACTTGTTACATCATGCATCCGCACAACACCTCAAATTAAGTCCAATGCACTCACCCTAGCTGGCCGAGGGCTGAGTGCTGCATGTTCTGAAGGTGTTGCTGTTGCCAACCACTCATTGAGCCGAGGTGAAGGGAGCTGCCGCTGTTGAAGCCAGACAGGGAGGACAGATCTGCGCTATTCAGGGAATACTCTGTGTACAAACACACACAAAAGGGGGAAGAGGAGGATGTAGATTATAGGTTGTTCAAAGAAGTTCAAACAAAGTTGCAAAGAGAATGCAGCTCTGGTAAATGCTGCTGTGATCTTACATGGATGTGTTAGTTGGTGTGACAATAGCACCCTCTGCTGTTAGTTTGCTTGTATAACACTTACATTTTGGAAAGGTTCACAAGCAACATATTTATTTGAAATGAGTCAAATTATAATTTTTACTGTGCATAACATCTAAACCAAATCTTGTTTGGTTATGTTTGGGTAAAGTAAAAGATAAATAAAAATATACTACATTATCAACATTTAGGATGTAAGAGAATAAGCCTGTGTTAATGGAGAAATAAAAATGGAATATATATATATATATACGTATGTGTATGTATGTGATACATACCGGTACCGTAAGAAGTAGAGATGGCAGATGGGTAACCGCCCATGCCTTGTCCTGGTAGAGTAGGAGTTGCTACTGATACCACTGGGGTGGCCAATGACTGAGCAGACTGAGAGTTGTTTATTCTCTGGTTCTGTGACAGGGGAAGAGAAGAAACAGAGAGCAAAAGAGATAGGAGAGGCTTGAGAACATGAAATCAATTCCCAGACAAAACAAACAAAAAACTGCAATAAAACCAAGAAAGATTTTTTTTTTATTATTTTCTTTCATTTCTTTCTTTCACTCAACAGATGCTGAGAGAATGAATGTGATGCCAACTTCTGGGGAAATTAATCACTTGACATGCGGCACGGCTGAACCCTGCCAACCCTATCATTTACCACCCTTTCCGAGGGCCCACTGTCGCTATAGTAACACCATCGGTCTCCACAGCAACGCAGGGTAGCGACGGCAAGGGAGAGGCACTTTACTGTAGCAGAGGGGAGGGTTTGGCAGGAAAGAATGGAGGTTTGATGCAAAATGATAGTGTACTCTTTTGTTGCCCTCCATTTCTACATTCAGAGTAATAAAAGCTTTGAGCTGTATGTGTGCAACATAAGACTATATGCAGGCGAAAAGAAAAAAGGATGGAAGGGAGGAGTAGATATACACAAGGGCTGAGGCAGAAAAGAGGCCAGGCTGCTTTTACACTGACACACCACTGGATGGCACTATGTGCCCTCACAAAATGTCATGTGAGGTGACTTTGGAGCCTTCAGCAGAGTCAGCAACAATAAAGGTAAAGGTTTCTCTGGAGTCGGGACCGCTTTTCTCAAAAACGCTGTATCTAGCTGTAATAGTCTCAGTAGTGATAGCAAAAATTGAATGCAAATTAAGAGGTTAGACTCGGGCGGCTGCTACGCTCTGAGCTCTATGAGGCACATTATGCTCTCGACAACTCTCTTTCTGAAGTTTCTGATTCTTAAGGCCTTTTAAGGGTTGTTTTGATTTCTAAATTTGAGTGGCAGTCTGACTTACCAATAGCAGATCGACATCCTCAGACTGACGGCATTAAAAGGGGAGGGTAATAAATTCACATTAGTGTGAGTTAGAATATAGTAGTGGTGACTATGTGTGGATCTAGGGATGGGGCTGCTATAGGACCGACCCAATGGAAACAGAACTAATGTGAAAAGAGAATGCTAAGAACTATTGTAACTACAGTAACGTAACACACCTCATTAAAAAGGAAAGAGAAGGGAAAGAAATATCGGGGCCTATAAGCACCAACATACGCACACAGACACAGCAGAGTATATCTGACTGTATATCAGACTTGGGTACATTTTTAAAGAAGGGTGTTCGTTTAAGAAGCTGCCAAGGTACGTGAGAAAACCACAAAAATCTCAAGATAATCAACCCAAGTCTGATATGAAGAGATGAAAGCCGCACAGAGTACACGAAAAGAAATATACAATAGCAAACAAACTGTAGGGAAAAAGGGCGGGGGAAGGAGGAATGATGACATGAAAAGAGGGACAGAAAGATTACTTACGATGGAGGGCATATTGTTCTTGGCACCAGGGGGGATGAGCACACGTAGGTCAGGTTTGCGGTTGTTCATGCCTAAGTTCATGGGTGGGGGAGACTTAGCCTGCATGTTCTTGTTCATGCCACCTGGAGAGACCAGCAGACCTGGCGAGTTGCGGTGGTTCCCATATCCATTTCCTGGGAGAGCAAAGAAATGTTTGGGAGAAAGAGGCAGAGAAACATTAAATATACCAGTATTCTTGAATGGCATTCGAACCAAAAACACAGTTACGTGTTGTTTAACTTGTTTAAAAAGTTGAATGTTGGACATAACGTTGTCCATGACATCTCCACTTCCTGTGGCAGAAGTTTTATTAGCTCACCAGTGTGACTTATAAATTGTCTTTCATTGAAATGGTACACATACACATACAGTTTTTGATTTGATAATCACCGCTGTTTGCTTTATAGTCATACACTGAAGGCATCCACTTGAGGGGACCTCACCCTCCACCTCTGTCACTGTCAGTTAAGTCTACATGTGCTCTGCAACAGCCAGTGAATCATGTAAAAACATCTAATTACGGGCAGCAAGACCACAGAGGGATGGGGCCCATCATTTGGCCCTCAGAGCTAAACACGTGTGGTTCCTCCAGACAAAGACCCTGCCTTGGGTCTGCCACCAGATCTGCATTCCCCTAAGTACCGAGGGCCAAGTGCAGCACCCATTTCCTCCTCAAAAACCGGTGGGGCAAAATCCCAGCAACATCATTAAAAAAAACTGAGAGTGGAGCATTCTTTCAAGCAACATAGTCTTTGTTTCTAACCCAATCCCGCAGGCTGTTTTTCCCCTTACTTCTCCTTCCTTCTTCCAAGGGGTAGAACACAGGGCACTGTGTGGACGTTCCCACTTGAAAGACGGGCAGGAATTATACGTTAGACATAAATGAATTTCCTAATCATATACTCCAGGGGAAAATGAGTCGCAGATGTCTTCCTGGGCAATTTCCCTCGCTGATCTTTGTTTAATTTGAGAGCGAGGTTTTTGTTGTTTGGAAATGAAAAGTCTCAAAAGCTCAATTTGAACAATCTGAAGAGTAAACGACCGCTAGCGGTGAGAGAAAATGAGGCTGACAGAAAACGAGAAAAACAGTGTGTTTGACTGCTGGTGTGTGTGTGTTTGTGCATCTGCTGGCATGTGTGATATGCGAGCTTGTATAAGTTGATGTTAACAACATAGACTTTGTGTGTTATTGTATGTTTGGCTGTATACATTTTTTGAATGTGCATGATTCTATATAAGCACCATTTTTCACACTGAGTGTACATACGCACAATATGACTTGAGACTCTATGAGACATGCTGTATGACTGCTTTTGCATGAGCCATGCATATGGATGCACGTGTGTGTTTTGTATTGGACCCTCTTAGTTCCAGTGTCAATCTCACATTAGCAAAGAGGCAGCTGCCTCTTCAGTTTTCCCGCTCTCTCATTCTCATGGCTGGCCCTTTGTGAGATTGAGTGGGTGCATGTGGAGATAGATGAATGAGACCTCACACACACATAAAGCACACACATACAGCACACATACACACACTTTAGTAAATAACCCAGCAGGAAGTACATCAGTGTTTCTGTACAGATGAATAAAAAAAGAGATTGAGCTATAGAGAGACATTAATACACACTTTGGTCAAGATGACACGGACTTCATCTTGGTGACAGTTAATCAGACATCTGTGTATTGCCACCCTGTGGAGATGGCTGCAGTCCAGTCAATTATCTGCTAGATGACTATGATCATGAGTGGCATAGGCCAGTCCTTAAGCACTTCAAAAGTAAAATCATTAGCTAATTAAGCTAATGAAGCAAGAACTATGACTCAAAGTCTCTATTCTGTAGCCTGATCACCCTGATTTTAGGACGGCTGTATTCAATAGTGACACACTGACTCACTCGACTACGAAATCAGCTGAAGACATGATATCCACAGCTCATTTCCACTCTTATCCTCTAATGCTACTATGCATGGTCGTGCTGCGGCGCAGGCTGGCGCCAACCGTTTAGAGGAAGTACCAAAATGAAACACAGCCCAGCCAGGAGTCTGTTTTGCTGCTGTATAAAACTCACACATAGAGGACAACATCTGATCTGAGATTCAGATAAACAGCTTTTTGCTATTTCTGAGGTGTGGGCAGACAAGTGAGGTCAAAGCTGAAGGATTGCAATCTGTCTCTATAGGTGCCATGGTTACAACTTAGCCCACTTCGAGATGCATGTGTTTGACAAGCCCCCCCCCCCCC